GAGCAGCTGCTCCGAGCGCGGCCCCGCCGGGCCCGCCGCTCTCCCGCTGCACCTCAGCTGCGGCCGGCATGGAGAAGCGCGAGGAAGCGGTCGCTGTTGGCCATTCGCAGGGATAATCCTGTTGCTTATATTAAACAGTAATGCAGGATGCAAGAACCGTTACACAGACGAGAGGTAGGAGCTGCCCTCCACGCAGAGGGGAGCGATCACCCGGGCTCTCTGTTACAGGAGCTTCACGCGCATCTGAACGGCTGCATCAGCTCCGCCACCATGAAGAAGCTGATGGCGCAGAAGCCGGACCTGCAGATCCACAACGGGATGACCGCGATCGACAAGGGACACAAGCGGACTCTGGACGAGTGAGTGGACAAACGTGTGCCCATGAGGAGCATCTACCACCTCCTCCCGACTAAGTTAAAGCAGAGAAACGCACTGTCCTGCTCTGACGGCTGCGATTACGCTGCGGTCTCGATCTTGTATACTACTGGTTTGCTTCTTGTTCGATAAGCTATCTTCTTAAACATGTGCAAATTAAATGGAAATGTCATGTGGATTAAATGTAATTTATTTTTTAAAGGCCAGGAAAGCTTTATGTATAGCATGGGGTGGTTTCCTCGTTTGGAAACTTAATGTTTTCCTTTGCCTTTAGAAAGCTTTGTGGAAAATGTAATAATAGTTTCTGTTGCAGATGAATTGTTAGCCCCTCAAATTAAAGATGGCTATTAAGATGGTCTTGCTCATCATATAAGTTGACATGTGTTTTAACTGACAGCAAAGCTGGATAATTTAGCATAGTGAACACTTGTTTTCCAGATATAGGAGATATAGGCTGTTTTGGGAATACTCATTTTGCCATTCAGCTTTTATCAAGTTGATTTGTTAATGTTTTCTTTTAGATGTTTTCAGATGTTTCAGATGATCTATCAGATTACCACTAGGACTGAAGATATTTTACTGGTAAGTTAATCAAAATGGCTTAAAACAAACAAAAATATTTTCCTTTCCTGTTTGACTGTAAGGCTAACATTATGTAAAGACAAAATTAGTTTAACAACATCAGGTTCTGAGTAATAATGATATCATCAATGGTCTCTTCAATTGGAAATAAAAATTACTATTGTAAAACATGAAAGCCTAGAAATAAAGGGTTGCGGGTTTCATATTTCTCTTCTTCCTTCCGTCCTTCCTTCTGTCCTTCCTTGCACTAAGCCTTCAGTATGGTGGTCATTCTGAGCTCTCAGGTGCTTGGACTGATAATGACCTATAAATGTGTCTATTTATAGTCACCAAAGCTTTGATTTAAAGTAGTCTCCACATTCTTCTCTGGCTTGTCAAGACTAGTGAACTTCAATTGCATTTTTTTCTTTTTTTTTTTTTAAATCCTATAGATTACAAAACAAAAAAGAAGAGACTGTTGTGTGACGAAGATAAGATTAAAAAAATTATTGTCTTTCCTTCCATAAAGGGCCTTTTAAGTAGCCTATTCAACTTTCCACACAGTAGCTAGCTGTGAAAGGGATAGCTGTGAAAGGGGTTCTCTTGTTCAGAGGGAATTGTTTTGTCCTTCCAGTAGTGCTGAGAGAACTGAAGCTACCCTCTGTGGGTATGACTGCCAGAGGTGGAGAGTGATGGAAACGTGTGGAGTCTGAAAATTATACGTATAAAATATGTATAATTTATAGTAAATATATATATATATAATAATTTATTATATATATTAAAATATATATTCATATAATTTGTACATGTTATATATATAATATGTATTTTATATATATGTGAAATAGTTTTGCACCAAAATGTCACATTTTTAACCTTTTTTATGTTGCAGAAGAGAATGTAACCTATTATAAGCATTATTTATCATGTTGAAAATACCATTTTTTCTTCAGATAACTAAAGATGTTATTAAAGAATTTGCTGATGATGGTGTCAAGTATTTGGAATTGAGGAGCACTCCTAGAGAAGAAAAGGCCACAGGTACAGTGTGTTCTAGTTTTTAAATTTAGGTCTGATTGTACTATAAAAGTTAACTAAAATTGTGTTAGTAACAAGTCAAATTCAGATGTTTCAGTGAAAATATACTTTAAATATGAAAGCAGTGGTGTGAAAATAACAGCAGTATGAAAACATGTCCCTCCAAACCTAATAGCTGTTAAAAAAAAGTAGAGCCAGGTGTCCGTCTAAAATGAATGGCCCAAATTGGATTATGGAGTCAAAACAGTGCACGCACATTAGTTTCCTATTAGACTTATTTTTACTTTTTTTTTAAGATTATATTTACTTTTAGTTGCTTCATTTTTTCCTTTACGTGTGGTTTAATATAACTGCACCAGAGAAGTAGCTATTGTTAATCTCTGGTTCATACAGAATTAGTTTTTTTCCAGCAGATGCTCAGGAGGACAACTATTTCAAATGCTCAGAAATAAATCTGTTTTCTTAATAGAATCAGAACTGTATAAATTAGAAAACCATGGAGCAATACCAAGGGTGCATAATGAAATGACGAGGCTAGAGAGCTGCATCTTATTGCAACTTGCCTTAATTATGTTAGTTCAAATACGTTGGTTCAAAGAATTTTCATGTGTTTTGGAGGTATGACCAAAAGGATGTATGTTGAGACGGTACTTGAGGGAATAAAGCAGTGTAAAGAAGAAGGCTTGGATATAGATGTAAGGTAAGTAGTGCACACAGTGCCTCTGTTTCCCGGTTTTGTTGAGTCTGATGTTTCTTCATGGTTTGCAGAGAGGTGTACAAACCATCAGTGAATGGAAGAAAATTATGCATGTACCAAAGGAATGTTAGTGGTTCCTATTTTTTTGCTCTTTTGTTAACTTAGAGTTTGACTAATACTTTTTATACCATCTTCTATAGAAGTCAGATAATTATAAGGAGGCTTTTTTTTTAATCCTCCTTTTCGCTGATGGAGAATGAAACTTTTCAGCTCTAAGGTTGCACATGCTTGTGTAGCTGTTGTCCCTGTGCACTTCTGTATCTCCACTGCTTGAACACAAATAGATGAACACAAATAGAAAATCCTTTTATTTTGTATCACATTAGTTGTGATAAGCTTAACGATGGCATCTATCTCCTAGATTGCTAATAGCAATAAATAGAAGAGGTGGCCCTGCAGTTGCTAAGGAGACTGTTAAACTTGCTGAGGAGTTCCTGCTTTCCACTGATGGGGTTGTAGTAGGACTTGACCTCAGCGGTGATCCCACTGTAAGTTCTTGTTCTGTTTTGATCTTACCTTAAGGAAAGTGCTAATGTTGTCTAATAGCAGATTCGGTCATACTTTTTTAAGTGTTTTTGTCCTACATTTGTTGGTAGTTTGAACAGATTGCTTGTATTCTTGCTACCGAGTTTATCCCTGCTGCTGTAGGGAGCAGATTCTCTAACAAAGAATCAATTGTTTTTTGCGTTATACTCCCAAGAGAGCCACTGAAAAGCAGTATTTGTGTGGGAAGTGTCTGTTACTAAATTGTCGCAATCAGATTGATGGGGTTAAATAATACTGAAAGTTCACACTTGTTTAAATTCTGTTTAGAAGTACTAACTACTCTTGGTTACTAAGGAATTAGAAATGTTTAAAAATAGGCAAGTCTTCATTGACTTGCATATGGTCCAAATTACTGACTTTTGGCCAGTTTGACTAAACTATGTCCATATAACAACATAAGCTAACTAACTGCATACAAAAGTGAAATATTGGGAAAAGAAAAATTGTTTGATATTGCTAGACTTCTTAATGATGATGTAATTGGAGGAGTTTCATAAAAATAAGTTGTAAAATTATGATGTATTTTTGCCTTCAAGGCAGGACGTGGCCAAGATTTTTTGGAACCCCTCTCAGAAGCGAA